CACATTAAGTCAAATCTCTTTCTTAGGAGTCGCAGAAACCCAAATGCATCGTAGTAATAATCCAAAGTTTGCAGATTTGATAACCGCACAGGCCGGCTGCCTCAGTGTGTCCTTGAAAAGGCACTTATCTTCAGTTTTCTCAACACGATTTTGCTTCGAATGTGCGTAAACAGCAATTTAGAAAAAAAGAACCCAAAAGAACCCCAAACAATATCCTTGAACCCCAAACAATATCCTTGCCTTTGTCATATATTATCGTAATGAATATGACCGGTCATTGATATGCTGAAAAGTCACGCATCCTAGTGTATGTCGTTGAAAATCCATTCACTTTACTCCCATTTCCCATTCATTGTTGTTATTATGATATTATTCTTAATAAAGATTATCGTACACCATAAAGAGGCCAGTATACTAATTCATGACTTTCTCTAATGGAGATGACCAAAAGTTCAACTGCAAGAGGTTATTTATGTGCTGCAGTTTGGTTAGGTTTTTACGTCTTCTTCTCATTTCCTTCGACAACCTTCACTCAATGAATCTATTTTCGGCGGGCTAATTCCAGTCTGGTTTCTTGCTCATCCAGTCTGGTTTCTCGCTCATCCAGTCTGGTTTCTCGCTCATCCAGTCTGGTTTCTCGTTCATCCAGTCTGGTTTCTTGCGCATTCAGTCTTAATACTGATTGCCATGGGGTTCGGCAGATGGACGTCGACAGCGATAAATGGCTACATAACACATGATTGTTGCAATAAAACATCGATACTGGATTATACGATAATATCAACACTAGCTTATATAAAAATAGGTTACCAGAAAGACATCAAACGTGTGTTGATTTCTATTCAAACTGCTTAGGGCAGCATGGCTCTCATTGTTACAGACTTGGGGGAAGTGGGAAACAGGCTAATAGGCTTGTATGTAGAAATGTAGAAATGTATGTTTATATGCATGTACTTTACAGACTCCTAATATCAAGCTATTTCGCAGCCTCTACCTAGATTACAAGAAAGTCATGAAACGTGTGTTGATTTCTATTCAAAATGCTTAGGACAGCATGGCTCTCATTGTTACAGACTTGGGGGAAGGTGGAAACAGGCTAATAGGCTTGTATGTAGGAATGTAGAAATGTATGTATCTATGCATGTACTTTACAGACTCCTGATATGGTATCAAGCTATTTCGCAGCCTCTACCTTGTCATGAAACAGGCAGTGCTATTTTCCAAGATGTACAATCGTACCTGGTTCTTAAAAAGGACAATGCTTTGAGTGCCGTTTCGTGAACCTACCCAGTTCTGAAATGGCACTGGGCTGTATCTTAATCAATAATCATGTTTGTTTTCACCTATTTATGGGACTTGGGTGGGGTACGGCAGCATTGCAAGCTGCCGCTGTTATGAAAGTCTTTCTTAGCAATGTAAAATTATTGGAAGATAGAGAGGCAGATCATCAATATCTCAATCATTTGCTTGGCTCTAAATGATCGACAAATAGTCATAAATATTCCGTTAATTTACTAGGCTCTTATCGATCGATAAATAGTCATCAATATTTCAATCAATTACTGGGCTCTTGACGATCGATAAAGAGTCATCAATATTTCAATTTTTTGTTCAGCATTTTATGTTTGTCGATTGTAAACCATTTCTTCAGGAAACATATAGTCTACATGCCTATCTTTCTGGGAACTACATATTTTTATTTCATATACCTATTGTAATATAGATAAACATGTAAAACCGGACCGTTAAGCGTTCGCTGGCAGATCTTCATGTATAATACTGAAAATCCGATTTTAATCCGATTGTCTTTTAACAGCAAGTAGCATCGCCCGTGAAGCTTTCAAGGTCGTTACAACATCAGTGAAAGGTATTGGATATGTAAAGATCTGTTTCACAGTGCGCTTACATATTATTACTGTTTTCTCCATGGACTTCATACAAATCTAACAGCACGAATGTTGAACCAGGAGCGCCACAAGGAAATATACCTTCGGTCATATCGAGAACTAGGATAAAGCCGGGTCATATCTAATCCATTACACTGTCCTACTTAACCTTTGATTCACGCGAGAAAACAAAATCATGGCAAAGTTGAATAAGGGCTAGAAAATATTATTATTTGTTAACAAATCAGTGTAGTTTAATTTGCTATTTGTTCTTAAAAGGTTTTGATAAAGTATTTGAGAACAAAAAAAATCAGTAGACCTGGTCATGGGCGATATTTACCGTTCCTCCGCTTTTGCCAGGTGTTCAGCCTTTTATTCAGTAGTGCCAACACTTCTCGTCTGGAATTATATTCTTAAACACATCAATCTTCTTGCCCTTTTTTGCCAACAAAAATGTAACTCTTTAAATATAAATGGAGAAGAAAACAGTAGGGCAAATGTTTAACTTGCCACATGGTTTATGATAAAAGGCAGTAGTCATTTGCTGTCGCGATCCTGAGTCGTTAGGAAGCACAAAAGCAAATCGAAATGTGGCTTCATTCCCCTTGCACCAAACTATATATTTTTAAATGCTATTTCTATGTACCGGTGTGGGTAATAGCATGCAGCTGCATTTATCACACAGTATGGTTGCACGTTTTCAGTTTTAATTTAAAACTGTCTTGAAATGTTGTAAATGAACAAGTTAAACAATCTGCAAATATTGTTTTGTAAGGCTTATTTTTTATTCTTAGAGAGATGGATATATTTCTCTTACTGTTCTATTCTTAGAATTATATATATATATATATATATATATATATATATATATGTGTGTGTGTGTGTGTGTGTGTGTGGATATATATATATATATATATATATATATATATATATATATATATATATATATATATATATATATATATATATATATATATATATATATATATATATATATATATATGTGTGTGTGTGTGTGTGTTTATATATATATATATATATATATATATATATATATATATATATATATATATATAACACTCGGACATATCATTTAATTTTCTATAGAAATGTTTAGATACTTGCATAAATTTTTTTTCTATAAAATTTTGTATTTAAAATCATCTGATATTGTAAAAAGAAAGAATAAATAGCCCTTATGTTATTTAGGTCCTCAAAAGTTTAGTCTGGACGCTTCTAGCTACATATCGTTTCGATAGATTTTATTGATTCAATCTAGGAACCCATGCAATAATTTAATTAGTCTTACGTTAATTTGCCTTACATTAAATAACCCGATAATATTAAATCATGAGATCATTGTAGGTCATCACGAGCTACGAAAGAAAATAATTGATATAGAGCTCTTTGATATTGCTCCAAATAATAATAATAATAATAATAATAATAATAATAATAATAATAATAATAATAATAATAATAATAATAATAATAATAATAAATTGTTTTAAAATGGTATCTAATAAACAGAACTAACAAGTATACTGTGTGACCGGTTTCGCCATATTGCTTCATCAGAATGAATTCAATAGCATTGCTTACGTCATTTAATATACTCTCTTTCTAAGTTATCAATGACATTTATTTTATGCTCAAGTTTTCATCGTTAGCTTTACATTGTCAGAATTGTTCAGTACTTCCCGATATTGCACACCTTCATACTGCACTCACGCGCAAGACACGTGCCAATCTGTATAATACTGATTATTATGTAAACAAATATTGTACACTCAAGTGGTGGCCTCTCTACTTTTTGGTTGATAAAATTTGTTTCTGAATGAACGAACTCTGATAAAGCAGATGTTTCATAAACTGCAACATATTATTCAGTTTTGGCACATTTTGCGTTAACATTTTTGAACATATTATTCAGTTTTGGCACATTTTGCGTTAACATTTTTGATACAATGTTTCAGATTTAGGCTAGCTATAGACGCCAGACGGGGTTCTGACAATTACAAGCAAGTTATAAGACATAAACTGTCTTCTTTAGTTGGTAATAAAAATGTAAAATATGTTTCCAATTTTACATCCTGAATTTCCTCAAAATAAACTTTTGTAGTTCAGCAAATCCGAATTACATGAGCCATGTCATGGATTCTCAAGGTTTATTATACATTTCTAAATTGTACTCTAGTTTCGAGCATAAGAAAAGTGCAATTACATCCTCCTTGCTGCACATAAATGATATAAACATTAAATTCCACAGCGTCTTTTCGATAATTGCAATCGAAAGGCTTCATAATTTTTCCCACATTATGATCTCAATCATTCAATGATAGAAGAGAAATACGCATGCCGATGTCAATACACTTCAATAAGATTAAATTGACAGACGCTGATGGAATCCAATGTAGGTTACTTCATGTAGATGAATCCAGACCATAATCACAAAATCGCTTCTAATCGAGAAAGATACCAAAACTTATTCCTTCCAGATCCAATGGAAAAGTTGTTGCAATGCTTATTCATTAAAAATATTACTCCAAATTTCAATCCTAAGTAGACCAAACGCCATTTTCTTTCTAAACGTACGTCTAGCGTGCGACCAACTTCAAATTTGTCTGGGCGTAGTTACGTGCGCATTAATAAATGTTGTGTAATGATGCCGCTACGCTTGTATATTTAGTTTGGGAAACGGTACACATTAGGTTTACTTTGTTAATTGTAGTTTATTTTTGTTTACATATGTAAGCACTGCGAAGAATAAGAAATGAGCTTCTAATAAAAAGGTTACACTCAAGGTTGTGCAGCATGATCAGAAAAACTCGTTCATATTTTCCCATACAAATGCAGTAACCTATACAAATAGTATAATATAAACAAGATGACGTCATAATTACATTTTAACCTGTCTTATTCTTCAACAAATAGTTGATATGGAAATATGCATTTATGGTATTTATTAATATTTAAAAACATAAATACACATACAACTGGATCGTAATGATACATATATCTCTATTAAACAAAATTTCATAAACTTGTATGGATAGAGATAAACAGTTTTATTTATATTTATATTTTTAAGTATAAACACATTTAAAAAGGAACCGCTTCGGTGGCCGAGTGATTAGGGGTCCGCCTCTGAATCGGGAGGTTGTGGGTTCGATCCCCTGTCGAGTAATACCAATTACAAAAATGGTACTAACAGCTACCTCGCGTGGCGCTCAGTATTAAGAGGTAAATGTTTGGACTTGTCGGCCTGGTGTCAGGATAATGTGACTGGGTGGGACATCATACTACATATCTGCGGCACAATGCCCCAGTGCTAAATATCACTATAAACTGCCACACTGCGGACATCGTAGCGATATGACTGGGAAAACAAATTGTTAAAGCTACGCTAAAAATCATAATCACATTAAAAAAGTAGTTAAATTAAGTTTAGAAAAATTATAACGAATATTCAATTGTCGATCAGAACTCAAATTATAATTAAAACAGTACTAAAACATAATGGTGTGTATAATACTTATTTGCATACAATAAATAACTATTTATAAATAAATAATTATAATAAATTCAGACTTAATTTTGAATGGCATTTCATTTTTAAATAATTACTTAAGCTATTCTTATGATATTAATTATACTTTCATAAATTAAATTATTAAGTAAATTAAAATAATATCGAGCAATATAAAAATAGTATTGACTAATTGTAAACAGGGGCATAATTCAAAAGAATTTTGATTTTGATTAACGAATGTCGTATAAGGTTTTCGAATTGAGACCTTTTGGATAAATCGTATTAAGACTTATTAAATCGTATTTAGCAGACTTTCCATCTCAGAATCACGTATAACAATAGGTTAAAAGGAGAAATCTTGCAAAGTATCGAAACTGTTGTTATAATGTGCGGCAACATGAGAAGAACATGGTTAATCAATATACATTTTTATATCTGGTCTATACTGGTTCATACGTTTAGATATTTGTTGACTGGTTTGTCCAATATATAGTTAAATACTTTTTGGAAAGCAGTATTAATGAATTCAATAGGCTAATTTCTATTTTAAAACATGCACAATTATACTTTCACTAATTAAATTATTAAGTAAATTAAAATAATATCAAGCAATATAAAATTATTATTGACTAATTGTAAACAGGTCTGTAAAAGATGATTTTAAAACAATGTCATCCGAAATAATTCTTCTGTATCTTTTGGCTTGACTGTATGGTATCCCGGTTTTACGTGATTTAGGCTGACATGAAGAATATTCAACGTATTGATAAATAGTCGTCTTTTTAACAAGACCACGGTAGCGATGTCATTATTTTCTTTTTTTCACGACTTCAATGTCCAAAAATGATACTCTAGTTTTAGACATTTTGAGTGTGAATTTTATTTTTGGATGTAATTTGTTTAAACAGGCTATACAATTATAAAGGTCTTCTAATGGATAATTGGAAATCCTATAAATGTCGTCTAAAAATCATAGCCATACATCGGATTGAAGAGTCTTTTATCTAGAGTCATTTTCTAAATTCCCCATAAATAAAGATGCATAAGAAGGTACTATAGGACTACCCATAGATGTTCCCAATTTTTGGAGATAGTTTGTATTACCATAGTGGAAAAAAAAGTTTTTTTCAAGCACAAGTTTTAACAAGTTATAAACATATTCTTTTGATAGTTTACATGTATGTTCGTTTTGCTCAAGATAGTATTTACACGCTTCGATGCCATAATTGTGTTTTATATTCGTGTAAAGTGAAACCACATCAATAGTAACCAGGAATGAATTTTCAGATTGTGTTAGAATTGATTTTAGTTTGTTAATGAAATCAAACGTATCTTAGCATATAAAGGTATTGATTGCATCAGTGCTTGTAAAATATGATCAATATATTGCGATATTTTATTTGTAATTGAGCTACATGTATAAATGACGGATCTACCTGGCTATCCTAAAGGTAGTGACTTATCAATCGTTTAATGTATTTAGGTAAAATATAAAACTGAGGTGTGCGTATTTTATTTGAGAAAATATCTTATTTATCATATATGGAACAGTTCTGAATAGAGATTTCATTAATACATTTGCTTATTTTTGCTTTAATTTGTTCAGATGATTATAGGAAAGGTTTAGCATTTCTTTTTTCATCATTTAATCGCATTTCTACTTCTTTAATATAATCCTCTTTATTCATTATTGCTATGGTGCTAGACTTATCAGCTTTTGTAATAATAATACTTTCGTCTTGTGCTAAAGTACGCAATTTAATGTAATGTGATTATGATTTTTAACGTAGCTTTAACAATTTTTCAGTCATATCACTACGATGTCTGCAGTGTGGCAGTTTATAGTTATGTCTCTCAATGGGGCATCATGCCGCAGACATGAAGCATAAATCCCACCCAGTCACCTTATCCTGACACCAGGCCGATCAGTCCTAACATTAACCTCGCAATGCTGAGTGCCAAGCGAGGCAGCTGTTAGTACCATTTTTGTATGTCTTTTGTATGCCTCGACCGGGTATAAAACCCACGACCTATCGCATCCGAGGCGGACGCTCTAACCACTAGGCCACCGGAGCGCTTATGAATTTAATTCTTCTTTAGATATGTTTGTGAAATATTTTCTTTTAGGATTGTTATGTAATATATTCTTATTTAGTTGCTTCAATATAAACATCGAGATAAATATCTCGTCCACGAGAAGGCGTGAATGATCATTCTTTTTAATTGAAAAAGGGCTAATTATGCACATGAATAATACTTACATTTTGTGAATATGTGCATGATTATGAGAAATATTATATTAATTTTATTGATCTTATGTATTAAAAAAAATGTTTCTGATAATTCAATACTATTGTTCTCGGACTGTATGATGTTATCTTGTTTATATCATATTGTTTATGTTATTTATCACTTAGAAACATAATATATGTGATGATATAAACAAGATAACATCATACTGGCATTTTTAACCTGCCTTATTCTTTAAGTAATAGTTGATATGGAAATATGCATTTATATATATTAATATTTAAAAGTATAAATACACATAAAACTGGATCGTGAATATACTTATATCTCTATTGCACACAATTACATAAACATTTATGGATAAATAGAGATAAACAGTTTTATTTTTATTTTTATTATGTACAATAATTAATAATTAAATTAATTTAAAACAATTTATAACGAATGTTCAATAGTTTTATCAGAACTAAAATTATATAATAAAAATATTAAAGCAACAAACTGTTTCTTATACAGTATTCTAAATTTAAGAAAGGGAAATAAAATAATCCCTAACTCATGGTTTATGAATATCAATACTTTAATAGAAAAACTAAAGAAAAATCTGGTCTGTTTGCCGTACCTATAGAACTATAGCATACACACAGTATAGCAATACTTGAATAGCAAACGCAGGTCATAGGGACCTTTGGCAAAGGTCACTGAATATAATATGAAGAAGTTTCCTAATATGGTAATTGAAATCACAAAGTGAAACCCATCTATTAGAAAAACACTAGGGACATAAATGTACTCCACTCTAAATTGGAATTTAAAATTCTTTTGCTAAATAAAAAACTGATAACATCTCAAACGGAATATCCATGAACACATAAAACATAAATTTTTCGGTTCAGTACGGTCGGCTACTGACTGTTGCCCTTCCCCCTCCAAAACAAAAGATTAAATGTGCTTATACATAATAAAAATATAAATAAAACTCTGCCATCTAACCTCTGCCTGCATGGGATCGGGCTCAGGCTATGCTATCATGGGTACGTGAGAAAGCTGGTCAGTAGCTACTCGTGGGTCGTTGGTTCTTCCGGGGTTTTCCAGGGTTCTCCGTCCATCGGTTATACTGACCTGCACGTAGAGTCTTTCGTGTGCTGAAAAATGGCTGTAAACCGTACAACAACAACAACAACAGTACAACAAAAACAACCACAAAAACAACAACATATATTTCACTCTACTCTATAGGTGTAACGTTATATTAATTTGACGAGGGGTACGTATGTATCCTGAGACAAACTGATCCCATGCCGTCATAACATAAATTCAGACGATCACAAAAATGTATTAATTTCACGAAAGTACCATATGGCGCTCTTACTTCTATAGTCATGTATATGTTATGGACATAAATGGATCGTCTGACTTATAAATCAATCAAATGAGAGTGAGTTATTGAATGCATTTTAAATTTCTGGAGTAAACGGGATGTCAAAATATATTAATAAAATGTACGGGTATAACGCTGGATAAAATATCCACAAGAATATGACCCATACCGTTATTGGCGTGGTCCCTCTCAGGATTTACATCCTCTGAGGGACGCCTTAGATCTAAAATTTAAATGTTTTAACGTGTTCTTGTTTGTCCCAATGTTTTTATGTGTTCTTGTTTGTCCTATGTTCATGTGTAGTTTGTATACTTTTTATATAAATTTTGATTTTTTGTTAAATTTTGAATTAGGGTATGTACGCAATCCAAATTTATTGTTTTCCTCAGCTGTTGGCTTTTTAAATAGTTTCTTTTCTTAATATCCTTTACTAGTGAGAAGTAGAGGTTTAGTTTTTATCCTAATCTATACTATAATAGCATAAGCTGCTACGTACACGAGTTCAGAACATAGTTCCTCATGGCGCCCGTGCACAATTTGTGATCTCAACAGTGAGCACCATATACACGTGCTGCTCGTTCCATTATTTCACATCTGTTCACATTGTATTTATAGGTTACTGCATTTGTATCAGAAACTATGAACTCGTTTTAACAGAAGGATATACCGCACTCCCAAGGTCGTGCAGTATATCCTTATGACAAACCAGTTCGTATTTTCTCATGCAAATACAGTAACCATTTCATTATATGCTCATTTCTTATTCTTTCCAAGGTTAAATATATAAACAAAAATACACTGCAAGAAACAAAATAACTAAATGTATACGGTATTCCAAGCTAAATACATAAGCGTTGATAAATGGTATTTGTTCTACTTAAAATTGAAATTTGGAGTAATATTGTTAATGAATACGCATTGCAACAACTTCTCCATTTGATCTAGAAACAATACGTTTTGGTAATTTTGTTGATTCAACGCAATCTTTTGATTATGGTCTGGATTTATCTACTTTAAGTGACTT